GGTCACTGCTATGTGCTTCTAATAAGTAAAAATCTGACAAATTCTTTAATATAAAGAATAATATGGTGTAAGACATGAGTTGTGCAGTCCCTGCCTTGAAGCTTTATCTGATCATTCATGATGGTTGATATTTTACCAGCCATTTTAGATCCCATTTTACTGTTGGATCCTGGAAAGGAGGTTGAGAGGATGGGTATGAACCTGTGCAGGAGTAATCATCCTTTTGGTAGGAGAGCAATATATCAAAACAGAATGCCCCCACCACTTTTTTTTTTTTTTACTGTTGTAGTAGTAGTAGTAGTAAGAAAAGCAAAACTAGAAATAAAGCATTTTTTCATATTTTTCTTTTTTCTTTTCCTTTAACCAGCCATTATTTTATCTCTTTGAGAAAAAATAATTTCAGCATTTATTATAAATTCCTTCAAGATGGCTGGAGTGTATATAAAGTCTTAGGTAATATTGGATATAAGCATGAACTCATTATCTATAAAGAAAATTTTGTTTTTGAGAACTCTTGACTCCATCTAAAGTCTTCAGTGTAACAAAAGATGGTGACTGACCTTGCATATAAATTTTTTAAGTTCTTAGTTGACAGAGTTCTTCAATTAAGAAGTGTAGAAGTTATTAGCATAAAACTTAGTTACAACTAGCAACTTCATCAGTAAAATGTGACCTAGCTACAAATCTAGTACTGTGCTTAAGATTAAATTGAGGTACCAAAGAGGAAAGCTCATTTGAATAATTATCATGAAAATACTTATAAAAAAGGCATGGAAGCTATGTTACAGTGATGGGAAAGTGACTGAATCCAAGATACCAGGTCAGGACCAATAATGTTGTTGATTTTTCTTTGGATTTTGTCAAGAATCTTTAGATATAACAGAAGCACCAAACCAGATGTGGCAGCAATATTTAATGCATTGGTAAAATGATGGACTTGTAAATATGCAAAATGGATTCTGGCAAGAAAAATTGCCTAGCAAGACATAGTGAAACTTTTGAAAAATGTTTTTGTCCTTTGTTTTAATGAAGGTAATTATTGCCCTCTGATGACTGACATCATGTAAAAATATCCCAGATGGTAGAAGCTAATTAAATTATCATAAGAAATGTACATGTCAGATTTAATGGAAAACAAATGATATGATTTCTGAGGTTTTATTATTAAATAATGAATACAAAACAACCAAAGATAAAATAAATCTGAGGGGTGCTGAAAATTTTTTTTTTTTTTTTTTAATATTTTGTCAGATTTTGGGAAGTAGGTTATGCTGAGATCTTTTCAGTATTCCCTTGTTGACAGATAAGAAAGAATTAAGTGAATACATTGCATGAAAGGTTTCTTTGCTTATCAAACTAATGTTCACTATATGTAAACAATTTTTTTTCTTATTGTGTGTGTGTGTGTGTGTGTTCTTTAAAAGTTTTATGAGTTTGGAATGTGTTATCAGGCTGTCAAGAACTTATCTCCAGAAAGAAATGACTTTATTTCTTATCAAAATTTTAAGCTGACTATAAACATTTTTATTTTTTGCTTTCTTTTAATTTATTTGACTTCAACTAATGCAAGGTTTGGCACATCTTACATACTGAATATGTCTTTAAAATATTTGTCAGCATTGTAAACCATTTTGAAGAAAAACATATAATTATATAAATAAGCTTATTTTAGTCTGACACAAGGCCATTTTGAAGTTGGGAAGATGACTGACAATAAAAAGGGAAATTGCAACTACCTCAGCCTGTGACATGATTAATAAGGTTTGGTAAATTTGGGAAAAAGGCTTTAAAAATAAGCCAGAAAACAAAAGAAACGCTGTTTTTTGATAGACTGAAAGTATACTGATAACAAGACCTGAAAAAATGAAAGGAAAGGGATATTTGTTTTCTTTTTCTCTTCCCACCTTGGGGTTGCAATGCTGACAACAGCTAGCATAGAAGCCATCTGTTTTGGGTCAAATTAATATTAAGTGATAGTATTTTCTTAAGTTCAATTGCCCTACCTTGTGCAAGGAAGAATTGCTTATATTTTAATGTAAAGAAAAACAAAATAGTATCAATGGGCCACTAATTGAACAAAGTGGGTAATGGGAAGGCTCTACCCACAAAGGCTAATGCTCTAGCCAAAATTTGGTCAGTCAATAAGACTTGGATTTTAAGACTGACTAGTCTCCAATGGAAAAAAGGTATGGAATTGTTATATTTCTATTTCATCTGCCTAAGATGTGATAAAATTTATTAAAACAAAGGAATCGTTTCTTTTTGTCACTTGTTGACCAAAAAGCTGGTGAAGGGATGTAATAAGTGACAAATCCCAGATGACACCAACTTTACAAGGATAAGAATCCCCCCCCCCAATCACTGGTGGGAATTTGGGATGATAATTAATTTTGGCAATTTGGGCTAGACCACGCCTAGCCACTGGAAACAGGTTTGATCAGGAGAGAGAGGTAAAAGCCCAGGTAGAATTTCAATGAAGGTGGAGGAATTGCCTGCACACTTTGGTTGATGATGGTGAGAGCAAAGGAGTTGGATGGATCAATATTCTGCCATCACCACTCTTCGGGGGTGAAGGGAAGGGATCTCCCCAAATTTGGTTAGGCAATCTATTTCCCAACCACCTCATGCCCTGCACCGGGTTTGCATGAGGGTCCATAAATACAGATGAGTGAGGCGAGAAAAGAAGGAACCAGACAGCTTGAGGTGTTGTTTGCAAGAGAGATATGTTGCCAGTTGGTTCAAGACCTGCTTTGTCAAACCCTGCGCAGCTTCCGGGCATGTTCTGCCCATGTTGCGTTTTGTTTTAGATCACAGGGTGGGCGAATTCAGAGTCGTATACTCAACGTCACTGATTCAGTAGCTTTGGCAAAATAACATCACAAAGAACAAAGAGATAGCTGTATAAAACAACTTTATATCAAAGTTTCATAAAAGGGACATTCTACTCACTAAATGAAATTAACAGCATGCAGATTTTCAGCACCTTCCCTTTTAATACCCCCAGGGCACTATGATTAGCCCTGCTTGGTAAACTGGTACAAGGCTGAATGATCATAATGAGGGACTTATAAACTTGGACATTTCTGTACAAACCTGAAGTAATAATTTTCAAGGAGGAGCAAATTTACTGATGCCATATATTCTATTGACTAATGGAAATTTGTAACCAGACTTATTTGCATATTGAAGAAAACGTATCTGAATTATTCCTAATTTGTTGAAATTGGTTCAGAAAGTGGAGAAGAAAAAGCCTTGCCAGAATTATTAGTTACTACCATTGGTTGATCTGGTTTGTAGATCATGTAATTTTGTCCTTTTATGTTAATGAACATTATTTTGAACATATATAAGTATACTTGGCTCTCATCACAAAAACAATTCATTTACATATTTATCTACATTTATAAATTTAAAAAATATTTTAGTGTTAATTTTAAAAAAAAAAACACTAACTGCTGATTTTTTTTACAAATTGTATTGACCTTTTTATTAAGTTTTAGTATGGCAGAGAGGGGAGTTGCATTTGAATGGTACCTAGTGAGGTTTAAATTTATTGCACAGGTTGTGGTCTGTAAGACCAGCTTGTTAATCACTATTTGGCAAATTCTCTATGGTATTTATTAACTGTTGTTGTAGTTGACACTAAGTAGATTTTGTAGGGCACCAAGTGAAGATTAAACTCACTACAGTAGGAACTGGCTATGATAAACTTGCTAATCATTGTGCTATAGTAAATCACTTAGATTTCTTTCCTCTTTTTATCTGAAGTTGATAATTTTTAAAAATTTAAGTAAAAATTCTGTTGAGCAAATGCAAGGCACAAAATATCCAAATTCACAACTAAGCACTTTTTAGCAAGTCATAAAATCTGGTATTAATTATATACCCCCCACTGTATTATAGCGTTCTATTAATGCCCCCCCCCATCCTCAAAATGTGATAGTAGGCATTTAATAGGTTAATAAAACAAGTACTACACTTTGATTCCAGACAGAAACAAAAAAATTATCTTAACAAATGATTGTCATTTAAAAAATGTTTCTTTTATGTATTTGTGATGATTAATGAGGACGTAAAAACTTTTTTGTTTTGAGTTAGACTAGGTATGATGGATTGACATGTACTCTCTCTCTCACACACACACACGAATTTTGACTTTTGCAGATTTTATGATTGGACAAAAGAACTTATTACTTAAAGACTAAAGATAATATTTTTTATTAATTGCGATGAATTAGGTCTTTAGAAAAGTAGAGCCTTAAAATGTTAAAGAATCAGACCTTTTCTCTACCACTATGTAATGTTCATAATGTAGGCTTTAAAGGGTTTAAAATCTTTGACATCACTATCAATAATATACTTACTACAACATCAAGTAATTATAGCTACTAAATTCTACCAGCACCAATTACTATAAAAAATGGCTGGCCTAATACCACAACAAATGACTATGGTCCAATCTCTTTCTCCTCTTCCCTTTCTTCTTTTTAATAAATCTAAAAATATTTGAATTACTCTTCAAATTTATGTCTCCTCTTCCTTTTGTGATTTATTTGAATATTCATTCCAATGATTTAATACTTGTGACAGTGGTTGTGGTGAATGGTAGTGGTGGAGGCTTCCTCATGTTCTTAGTGCTTTGATTAGTGCCCCAAACTACTCACCAGATTAGCCGGCTGCTACACCAATGATTCTCCCAGCCCTAGCCTCAACTCTAGTCACCCTACCACATACTGCTGTACCTTAAATCATTCCCAGAGTGAAGTACCCTCTCCTCACCCCCCACCCCACTGATACCATTTATCTGCCTCCAATCTCATGACTAAAACTTGTACTACTACACCCTCACCTATCCCCTTTGCTTTCTGAGTCTGGAACCAGAGATGGAAAGGCAGCCTGTAATGTGTCTTGTATTTCTACAGTGCCAAAATGTTAAAGTTTGGTTGCCTTCTTGTCTCTTTTTGTAAAACACCTGCTGGTTTTATTTTCAATGAAATTCCATGCAAAGGTAAGTACAATGAATCTGAGAGATCATTAGTTATCTGTATTTATGAACATTTTTCATGGAATTCTTGCTAATCAGCAATTCTCACACCTTTATACAAATCCTTCTTGTCAGATCTTAGGAATGTGGTAACCTATAAGATAGGTGTGTCCATGGATGTATGCCTTGGTATGTAAGAATAGGGTTTTCTTGTAATTAACAAGCTTAGGAAATAAGTGTGTAATAAATAAATATATATATATATATATATATATATATATATATATATATATATATATATATACACACACACACACCTTAGTTATTTACTAAGGTTAGTCTGGCAGAGGGTGAAAGGGTGAATGAAAAGATTATTATGCCAATCATAAGTAGACAGGGAGAGGCTGATTTGAAAATAATTATTCAGAAATCTGGCATTTAACAAATTGGTGCTTGAAGAGATATTCAACTCAGTTGCCGAGCAGGATATGTATATATTTTTGTGCTTTTTACATATTCTTCCTTTGTTTTCAGATATTTGTGTGTGTTATATATATATGAGAGAGAGAGAGAGCTTGCTATGGAAGTGGGTGAAAGCACTTGGGACAAATGATGGAATGGACAGTTTTTGTACTCCCCCACCAAATGGAAAAATGCTGGAAAAAACTAAATAAAAAAAAAATTATTAATAAAATTTTCCTTGTCCTTCATATTTAAGAATAGATGTTTAAAAGAAAGGTTGCTGTCCAAATATGCATGAAAATATATATATATATATATATATATATACTCCTGATCAAAAATTTAAGACCACTTGAAAAATTTGGATTATAACTTTTTGTCTACATAACATTTTAGATTATGAAATTAGTAACCTTAAGTAAGAAATGTTTAAAATTTTTCCATGAAAAAGTCTTTTTAAAAAAAAATTTCAAGTGGTCTTAAATTTTTGATCAGGTGTGTGTGTGTGTGTGTGTGTATATATATATATATATATATATATATATATATATATATGTGTTTGTGTGTATAAACTTGTAGCCAATGAAATACACACACATGAAGATGTGTGTGGACTTTGGTCATTTAGGCTTGTTTTTAAGGGAAACAATTTCAATTAACAGGATATTATTTAGCATGACTCTCTAAATTAATTCTCATATAAATTTATTTGACTTCAATCTTTTTAAGGAAAAAAAAATAGTAAGCAGGATGGGATTGTAGATAAGATTGTACTTCATTAATCTTGGCCTCTACAAAAATTTGAACACCAACCTCTAAAATCAGGGTGAAATGTACTATTTTCTTGAACTCAAACTTGGTTAAAAAAGATAGTATCTGCGGATATTTAATAAGGATTTTTGTTTCTGTGCAAGACCAAACAGAATAGGAAGATTGTGTTGCACCAGTCTTTCAGATGGGATTGGCCTGTTTGTGTTGGCCGTTTATAAGACCCTCACAAAATAAAATTCTGTAATGAAGCAGGCTGAAAAACATTTTAAACTAAGTTTAGAATAACTTCTATCTTCATTGGTAACTTTTGTTGTCTAAGATTATTTTGTATATTTGAATAGTCAAGATATAAATATGTGAGCACACCTACTAACATGTGGTGTAGGTTCCTGAAGAAAAATGTTTTTTTTTACACTGTCTCAAGTGAAAATGAATCACTTTCATCACAAAGAATAAATGTTTAAATAAAAATTAGAAATAAATAAAGCCATTTATTTTGTTGAAATGATGTTTTATTTAAAACATTGAAAATGTTTAGTAAGATGAAGCATATGAAATATTATCTGAAAGTTTTTCCTATTTCTTATATTTTGTTGTAAATTTGTCACCAAAAATGATGTAAAAATAATCTCCCAAAACAAACTTAACTCAAATTAACTCAAATAGTTGGATGGATTCCAAAATGGTATAATGCATTGGGCTACAGCCTCTAGGAATAAAGTTGAAAAAGTGTGACACACTGACATTGGCATTTATTATATATATATATATATATATATATATATAGTTGTATTTGTCAATCTGTAAGACTCTTTCAGAAAAGAAAGAATTGAAGAACTTTCCATTGCATGTGATGCTTTGGTGCTGTGAAAAGAAGTAGCAATTACCACTTGTTCCAAAAATGCTTTTACAAAACTTATATTATTAGCTGGCTATAATGCTAATTCCAGGATTGGTTTCCTGACATTCTATGAAATATTATCTCCTCTTAAATGTACATGTCTGGCACCTTGGCAGAGTATGTATTTTTGAACTTTAACTTTAGAGTGAATGCAGAGGCAAAAAAGTCAGACTTCTAATATTAATTTCAGTTATTTAGTAAGAATTTAAAATATTGTCTTCTAATTTATTTAAATTTTGTAAAATAATTCTACAGTTTTGTATTACAGAAATAATAAAGTGGATTTGCTGTTGTCATTTCCAGTGACCTTTCGGTGATCTTTTAGGCAGATATTTCTTCATCATCCAAACAGTAACTTGAATATGGAAGTATCGGCAGAACTGGAGATAGTTCTACTAAACATAAAGTACACTCAAGTATTACATATTAAAACATTGGTTTACAAAATTTAAGAATACTTACCATGAATTTAATGTTTCAAACAAACAAAAAACTCATTGTTAAAGATAATGTAGAACTTTGTTTCTCATTGTATAAAAAAAGTAACTTTTACTGAAAATTTTCATAAACTAAGATACATATTGTTAGATTTTCTGGGAGTGCTTACCTTAAAGATAATTTATGTTGCTTCTTGAAGAACTTGGAATATTATAAATAATGCTTTCTTCCTGTTTTTCATTATACATGTTTAAAACTCTAATCTTTAAGCAGGGGATTATTGCTGACTTTCTCTTTTACAACAAAGTAATTTAATTCTGTCAGTTATTGAAATGAATTTTTTGCTTTAATAAAGAGCTTTAGATTTGTTGGTTTCTTTTGTAACTTGGATTAACAAATGAAAATTGGTCTAATATATATTTTCCATCTTTTTTACTACAATTTCTTTTTACATTATTTCTTGACTCTACAAATTAATTGTCAGCATATTCAGCAGGCAAAAAGACTTGCCTAAAAGGCTAGTAGGCAAATTTCAATTAAGAAAATAAAAAAAAATAATTTGATTTTGTCAAGCATGATAGTTAACATATTTTCATATTTTGTTTTTTATATCCTGAAATGAATTTAATTCTATTCATGCAGAAAATCAAAGGATAAATTTTTGCTTTTTAATTTTTTTATTGTCAAAATTTACTTATATTTTATAAGAATTAGTTTTTTTTTTTCCATCTTTTAAATTTTAATGGAAAAATAACCATGACATTTTTTCATGACAAACTCCTCCTTGTTGGAATTTAAAGAAAATGAATAAATCAGAATTCTTGATTTTACTTAGAGGCTTTTGTTTTTTGTTCAAATTAAAATTATTTTTGTTCTTTTTAAAGATAAAAATGGAGATTTCTTTTTTAGTATGCAGTTATTTTGTAACTTGATTACTTTTTAGTCGTTGAAATCTAACTTGTTTCTAAAGTTTCCTTTTAAATAAGTTGTGCACTAATCAAAGATTTTTTAAGCTGAATTTTGTCTAAAAATGTGTGTGTATACATCTTTATCAATAGACAGTGCCACTTGAAAGTTTGTGAATCCCTCAGAAATGGTCATTGTTATTGCAAACAAATTTAAAATAAGCCCATTAAATGTGCATCCAAACACCAATGTGTAAAGCAGACTTTCCAAATAATGAGCACAAGAAAGACGTCTTTTATTTATTTAAAAAAAAAGCGTTTTATTTCAGTAAAACTGAAAATTTGACATGTATGTTTATCATATTTGTCTTAAAAAAAAAAGTTGCATACAAATTTAAGTTTTGTTTTCTTCAGGTATACATAAATGATTAATCAAAATAAGAAGATACTAAGACCGTAAGAAGCCTAGGGGATCAAAAGGAAAGGCATAGTAGTTTTGTGACCAAGACATAATTGGGATAAAAGATTTTTGGTTGACTTTGAGAATTCAAAAACACAAGAAACCTTGGTATCTTACCTGAAATTATTATAATAGATAAATGATAAAAGAAATGTTGCCAATTGTTTGATAATCTAATTAATCTTAAAGAAAAAAAATGATAAACTATCAAAATATTTAAATTCATTCTACATTGTCTTATAACTGAAGATTTCTAAGCCAGGGATGAAAATTTCTGTGATGTAGGCTGACTAATTATCACCTGCAATCTTAATTTGTATATACTTACACCTAATTTTCAGTATTTGGAGCAAAGTTTGTTCCTTGTGTTACAGATATATAAATAATCTTTTTCTACTAAATTAGTCCAATTGACTGAAAAATCACATTTTTCAACCATCTTGTTAATAAATATTTAAATATTGATTATAATTTTGAGAAGTCATTATTATTCCAAGAGGTATTTCAATTCTTAAACTTCTTTTTATAATATATATATATATATATATATAAGCAATATGCTAGATTTGGCTGACTTGTTCTGTTGAGTGAAGATGGCTCAGTGGTAGAAGCTCTGACTGACACCAAATCGCTTGGGTTTCAATCAGGGATTGAGGCATTCATTCAGTTGTCTAGTCGCACTGAGGAGCTGTGAAACAGTACTGTCTGTGAATAATATATATTTACCACAATGTTTTTGAGCCAGTTGATATGACACCATCATTTCTGTTGAACAAGTTATTAATTTTTAAATGTTATCTTTAAAAAAAAAAAACATCTATCAGAGAAAATCTCTCATTAAAGATCTTGCACTTAAAGAAGGCTGTAGAATGATGAATCAACTGAAACACTGTACTAACAATAGAAATATCAACATAAAGAATGAGATCAATTGTCCAACTTGCAACTCTTGGAAAAAAAGCAAAAAAACTTGCATGAGATTTTTTTATTGATGTCAATGAAATTCTGCCTGTCCTAGAAATATTGAATAGCAGTAAATCTCTTACCTTTTCTGAAGAGCCCATGTTAGCAACTAAAATTATTACTAAATGTTGCAGGTATTTATAAACTAATTTGCAGGTAACATCACATGATAATGACACTTTGGTGCATCAACACTAAATGTTGAGGTATTTATAAACTAATTTAGTTTAATTTGCATCACATGATCTTTAGTTTTATTTGATCAACCCCTTTGAACAGGTGACATCTACAAAGCCAATAATTCAATTGAGTGCACTTGAGACTAGAAATACAATAATGAAGTGAAGTCCTTGAAATTATCTTTTATCATAAATTTTCATTTTTTTTTTTTTTTTTTTTTCTTTTCTTTAAAAGATGGGATTTTTTTTCATTTAATCATTTTATCTGAATAATCATTTACTGTTTGATATTTTCTTTATTATTTATCTTAGGGTAAAAAATATCTCTTGAATGTTTTTGATGATAAAAATGTTTCATGTTATGCCTTGTCATCACAAAATTTATAAAATTTTTGTGTATGTTATAATGAAAGTCCTTGGCAGTCTATATTATTATTATTTCTTAAACTTTGAACCAAATCTTTACAAATTAAGGTTTTTACTTACAGTGCTGGGAATACTCAAATTCTTGCAAGTTAGTTTCTTCATCTGATTTAAGGCTAATTGTGAATAAAAATAAAATACATTGTTGAGTTTACCACGTGTCGTGTTGTCTTTGTATTGCTTCGACTTTTCAGTGGCCAGTCTCATATAATATATCTTTCCACCTTAAGCCTAGTGGAACAGTAAAGAATACTAAATCTAATGGGAATAATAACAGCAATGACAACAAAAAATGAAATGAAATTATTCCATTGTAACCAAATGAAGTAAGCAAACTAGAACTGGGAACAAAAATAACATTCATCCACATCCCCAACAGAATGTAATAAATATATAAGATTAATAATTTTATTTTATTTTGCTTTTCTTACAAGCTAAATCTGCTTACTTATAATTTCTTACACTTTAGTCCAACATGCTGGAATTTGTGACTCAATATAATGATTCATCATTTCTTACTATCATGTATTAATACTTGTATTTGGTGCACAGTGACTAAGAGGTATTTTTTTTTTTTTTTACATTGGTAATATAAATTTTTTTTCTTTCAAGATTTCTCATCCAAAGTCGGTATTCTTTATGTGCATTTTTCCTTCTTGGAATATGAAATAAGATATCTTTATTTTTTGCTCATGATTTTAACTAAAAATTGTAGATGGAATTGTTAATGTTTACATGTGTTAGTATTTCTGGTTTTCAAATTAGAATTTTTTTTTTTTTTTTTTTCTTTTTTACTTGAATCAATTCTTGGTTGATACAAAATCTTTTCTCATGAATGAATTATTACAGCTTAAAGCATTATTTAACTGTAGTTTTAATTTTCAAAGAATATTGACCATATCAGCTCAACATTAGTCTTTAAATAGCTGAACAAGTAAAAAATGTATTATCTATAACTTTGAGAAGATTTTATCCAACTCAACATTGTTCAGACATGAGAACTTTGTATATTTGTGTACACACACATACACATTTTGGTAGATCTGTTCCATTCTTTGGCATTTGTCAGGTAATGGATCATTTGAAATAGTGTTAACAAAAGCCAATATGTAAAGATATGCCTGAACAACGTGATGTAAGTTTAAAATATATTCCATAGTCTTTATTACTTGCTTTTCTTAAGTATTTCTTGGATTATAGTTGAAAATATTGGATGGTTGGGGGCTCAGGCATTCTTTCATTCATTGTTTTCTCGGCTCAACTGAATTAAGTTTATTTGAGGAAAATATGGGTTCCATATTCAAATACTTTTATTTGAATCTGGTCGAAAATTAATTACACAAAAGACCTCTCTAAAATTTCCATTGTTAGAAGCATTTTTACTAAATGGAGATTGTCTGGGAAGTGAAGTTTTCTTTAGATTAGTTTTTAACCGCTTATTAATAATTTATTGTTGAGACCTGACTTACAAAAAATAAAATAGCCAGAGAAGATATTTTTCTATGTGATGTTTTTCAGGGTCGTTTTTTGTGTTAAGCCATAACAGCATTTTATTGACCCAGTTTTGGGCAAGATAATAAAAAACTGAATTTAAGCTCATCTGATTCCATGTTTGAAGAAATGGAAGAGGTAACCTGTGTGGATTATACTGGGCTAAATATATTTCTGGTGCAAACCAACTTATGCTTTTTCTTAGCTAATTTTGGGACACAGAATCAAAAATTCTAGTTCATTTTTACTGGTTAGCTGCACATTTTGATGCATAGAACTTGAAATTAAAAGCCTATAATATTCAAATTAATTCTGAATGCTCCCTGCAAAAAAATACAAAAGGTGAATGTTATTGAATTTCTGATTGCTCAAACATCTAGTTTTTATGTTATGTTATTTTTTAATCATTTCATCCCAAGCAAGGCAATAAAGCCACTAAGATGCAAGGGATTACTGAGTGTTAGAGAATGAGAAAAATATATTAAGGAGAAAGGATAATAAAAGAACAAGAATTAAGAAAATAGAAAATAACGATTGACACTGCATTTGAATGTTCAAAGATCAAAGTAGCATAGTAAGCAGGAAGAGAGATTCACAAGTGAGAAGTGCTATAGAAGAAAATTATTAGCATAGAACTTTCATTTAGCCATTTCAATTGTAAAACCTTGGCACTAATGTAGTACTACTTAAATTCATAAAGGATAGTTTATCAGAACAATTATCTTAAAAGTATGTATAGAAAAGATGCATTATGATAATGACAGTTTAATTATATTGTTCTAAGTTATGATTAGAAACAATATAAAATTCACTTTATCTGCACCAAATATTTAGGATAGAAACTTGAGTCACATATATGGTATTTTGGAAAAGGAAAACTAAAGCTAATGGTGGAAATAGATGTTATTTTTGGATTCAGCACCCCTGAAATTGTTCAAAATTAGCAAAAAAACAGTCCATGAACCATTTATTAAAAAATATATAGGCTAGTCAGTAAAAATAGGAGATTGTTGATGGATAAAAAGATAGCTGATCTGGGACGACATACCGAATTAGTTTTTAATAGTTCTCATTTCCTTCATGATGTGTGCACATATTTCATTGAATTAAACTGACAAGATAAACGAAAGTACCATGTCAGTCTTGTTCAACAAAACATGTATTAAAGAGGGATTGCAGCCCAAATGCACAACCTATATATATATATATATATATATATATTTTGCACAAGAACAGGTAAGTTTTATTCTGATCAACCATTAAATAGTATAAAAAATGAAACAATTCTAATTCTTTAGTGTTGGACAAAAGGAGGACATAATTTTATTTGAATTTCAGATGTCTGTTTTTAATATTACTTTTGATATGTTTTTGACATTTATTTATGTTGTATATTATTTTTATTTATGATGTGAAATTTATTATTGATTTTTTTTTTTTTTTTTTTTTTTAGGTCAATGCCAAGTGTCAGCACAATGACACAAGAACTTGAACAAGGTGTGATTGAAATTTTGGATTTTGCCAAAGAGCAGAAAAAAGAACTTCTGGGTTTGTTGGATGCTCTTTATGAAGCCAAAGATCAAGTAAGTTTTAAAAAACAAATCCTGAAAGACTGTTTTGATGATTTTTGACCTGGTTGCTCAGAATTTTGTCACTTTTTATAAAAAGAAAATAATTGTCTTTCTGTTTGGAGATAATTTTTTTTTTAAGTAAAGGAAATAATTAATTCTGTAAGAATCTCATTTTGTTTATTTTAAAGGACATCATTAACAGTAATTTGCAATAGGTAAATTGGTGGTGATACTTTATGCCAAAAAAGTTCGAGACATCTTCTCATCTTTTACATGATGTCACATTTTAGTCACCTCCTGTTGATTTTTTAAAAAAAAAATATGCCTGAGGCACATTTGTCAAATTCTAAATAAGAGGAAATGCCCTAATTCTGTCTTATAAAAGTATGAGATTCTGCTTGAAAAAAATGAATCTCCAGTTCAACTGAAAATAAATACTAGTTTCAGTGTGCTGCTGTCTTTCACTCTATTTTTAATGAATAGAGTGCAAGGGAAAATTTTGCTGCAAAAGGTTTGTCAAAATTGAAGTGAATTACTACATTGTAAATATTTTATCTTAAGTTTGCAAAGTGAATGTTTCTATTTTTGTATAGGTTTTTTTGTTAATCTCTGCTTTTAAAAAATTTTAAGATTGAAAAATATTTATAAAAGCAATGTAGTAGTAGTAGTATACTAAAGTTGTTGTTTTAGATTCTGAAGTTACATATTTTAATTTTTAGCAATTTTCTAGAAACAACAACAAAAAAAAACTTGTATTTTATCAAAACCTGCTGATTCCTTGAAAGAAAGCAGAATAAAAAAATTTTCTGCTAAGGTTGCAACTTGCATCTTCCACGTTACAAGCTTTTCTTACATGGACAGTACTTTAACTTTAAGCCAGTGAAGCTTTCATATCAGACATTTCTTATTTTGTAATCAATCTGCCACCACTTTGAACAAAATCTCTGCCATTTTGGTTACTTTTCTATATTGTTGACTGAAAAAGATTTGATTGAAAATTAAATCAGACAAAAAGTCAGAAAGAAACCAGACATTGATTAATCAATTTTTATTAGAAATTTTATAAATTGTAAAAATTATCAAAAAGAATTAAAAATGTGATCTTTTTTTTTTTTTTTTAATTATTTAAGTCTGAGAATGAATATAAATTTTAGGTAAGAAATTTGCGAAATCCTTTTCCATTACTGATACTTTATTAATATTAAAAGAAAGAAAATATTTCTTTGCATGTAATGTGGAATTTGATATGAGATTGCTATTTGTTAGTTGGTATTTTAGAAACTAGTCAATTTGATCTTTTTTTTTTTTTTTTTTTTTTTTAAGCTTAAAAGTTAAAATTCTGAAATTTGTTGTACTCAATTTCAATTGAATTGATAATAGGTTTTGTTTAGGTGGTGAATACTAAGAATGATGTTTTGCTTTTAACCCCTTGAAACTGGCTAATGAAGAATAGTCAGCTGAAACCAGGAAACTATACCCTTGTTATGAGAGAGAGAAAAAAAACAAAAACAGTTTCAGTGGCTAATTTGTTCTCAGCTTGAACCTCTGTTACCCAAGCCTCTAAAAAAAGAATTCTGACTCAGCAAGAAGCAATTGCTGGTTTGAAAGCAAAGATGCAAGTTCTTGAGCTTGTTGATTTGATTTAGGTTTTTAATATTGTCTTTCATATTATAATTATCTTTTATTTAAATAATAATTTTCAGCTTCTTTGGATTATGTCCTGATATACCAAAAAATGTGCAGTATAAAAGCTATTGACTGTTATAAATGGCTCCAAGGAACCTTCAAAGTATCCTAAGGTTTTTATGACTGACCCATCAAATTGGCGGAGTTGTAAACTGCTCTTTCGTAAAGGTGGCTTTCCGATGTGTTCCCCCAAATTTTTGGGTATCAGCGTTACTTCACTCCCAGTATCTATTTGCATATCTAAATTGCAGTTGTTGATTTTAACCTTTAGTATAATGTCATTTTTCTTTTGTTCAATTTTTCTATATTCTTATTTTTTAATGTGAAGATTTCCATATTGTTTTCGTTTTCTTCAACTCTTTCAATGTTTTTCTTTTTGAATTTGCATACTGCTTGAAAGTGGTTCTTTTTAAAACAATTTGTACAGGTTTTTCCAAATGCTGGGCATTTTTCCCTTTTTATTTCTTGTTCACGTCCACAATATTTAACATTTTATCTTTTTTTAACATGTGCGTATCAGCTTTAATATTTGTTCGCTGGGTTGATTTTTATGATGGTTGTATTTCTGTATTAATTCTTGTTGCTGTATAAAGTCAATGCATGTATTTCAAAACATATTTCCTATTTGTAGTTGTTCCATTATTTTATATCGGTGTGATGCATTGTACATACCTTCAATTAACCTCAATTAAATCAAGTCCTCTTCAATAGTCTGTTCGTCTTGTCCGTGTTTTTCAAATTCACAATATCTACTCGCATTTCATAGACGGTGTAGATATTTTATGATTGGTTCATCAATTTCTTGTTTCATCGACATAAACCTCGTTCTTTCTGTCACTACAAGCCTTGTCTTGGGTCTCATATTTCTCCTTATAATCTGACTTATTTTTTCGAAAGTCAGGTCTTCCAAGTTTGTGGGATATGCCATGGTGGAAACTTTCATTACTGCCTCGCATCCAGCTATAGTAAAAAATAAATCTGTAATTTCATTTTCGCCTCCCTTCTTGTCTTTCAGCTTTTTACTTCTTGCACTGGCAGAAAAACAGCGAATCCATGCATGCATGTAATCTGAATCTTCTAGAGACAAATGCTGTCCTATCGGCGACGCCATTGATGTGAAGTAGAAGTTTAGCACTAGTCGGTCGCTAAGCTTGTCTTCCCCGTACGTTATTCTCAGTGACCAGTTATATAGGCTTTCTCTTGCACTTATGCAAATTAGGCATATTAATTTGCCAGTATCACTATACTTAGCAAACTGTATTTCTGTGTGTTTGTGGGGGAAAGGAAAAATATGGTATTTGCTGTAATATTAAATATGTAAACATGAACTGTTTGTATATATAATGATTACAACAACAACGCTTAGAAAAAGGTAAACAGGTAATTGGAAGTTTCTATCATGATGAACATCCAAGGTTAAGGTACCTTATTCAAAAATGAATATTGTCTACAGCAAAGATGTCCTGTATTCATTTTTGCTTGTTCAAGACTTTTTTCCTCTTATTTTTGTTAATATGTGATTTTTAAACCCATTTGTGATATATTTTTAAATTGTTATCTTAATTTATAACACAAAAATCCAGGTTCTGTTTTCATTACACTTTTCAAAGTGTATGCAGCATTCAGTTGCCATTAATCATTTTTTTTACTTTGCCATCAACTAGAGAACTTGGTTTAGTATCTGCAACGAACAGGTATCTCACAGTTCAGGAGGGACAGAAAAATTAACGGGAGCCTAATGCGGGTTCAAGACAAGCAGGGCATGAACAGGACTTGAACACAGGAACACCACATGTAAGGGATGAACATAACTGAGACACAAGAAACACAAGCAAGGATGAATGAATTTCAGGTGATGCTGGGTAACAATCCTATTTTAACGCTGGTAGACATTTTTGGTAACTCACAGCAATCATGTCATAGGCTCCGCATAGCATATTGCCCAGTGCTGCTTCTCGGAAAATGTGTCTGCTTTTATTGTGCCTAAAATGTTAGCTGGAGTCTCACTGGAAAATATTCCAGTGAGACACGAGTGCCAAGAGAGCGCTTGCATTGACCCATACATCAAGGTCCATCAACACACCACTTGCCTCACACAGGGTCTTCTTGGTGCACTCTTGCAATGACCTTTTATCATTGTAGTTTGAAGTGCATCACCCACCTTGTCGTCCCAACCAGTCATAACTGCTGCTTCTGCTGCTCTCCTCTTTATGCTACTATAAACCGTCCATTCACTGGGAAGTGCCCAACCAACTTTTCACATAATCAGAACACACTATGTCAGGTGAGATTGCAAGGCATTTTGAGACATTGTTCCCTCATTTTGTGTTACATTCCCCCTAGACTTGCAAACTAAACACTCAGGAGCTGTCCTTCAGTTGTTATTCTTTGCTCACCAGCCCAAAGTTTACCAAATGTTGCTAACCACTGGCTGTGGATACTATATTCTCATTGATGTAGATATCAATGTATGCTGATGTTACTGGATAGTTTCATCTTTCGATAATACAGCATCACATGACTATGACATGACTGGCAGACTTATTGGGAGAAACTGACCTTAACTGGCTGCTGCTTTCTCATCTGACATAATGGCTCGAGCTCTAGTTAGAAGTTGACATAAAGTCATGTCGTCCATTCTCAACAATGCCCAGATATTGTGCCTTATGTGACTTGGCAATCCAGCTACAAAGGTGCATGCCATCTATTTTTCGGGGGTGCCTTTCCAATGAGCAGTGCAATCCTCTGAAGTTCAGCCAGGAACTCATCTACTGTTTCACCAGGTAGCAGTTGCTGTGTCATGAAGCTTTCAAAAGCCACAAAAGAATATATTGTGAAGGTGGTTACCAGAACTTGCTTGACTTGCACTACGTTGAACCTTTGTTTCTTCCTGAGCTGCCTATATACTGCAAGAGCTCCACCTCTCAACCATAGAGGAATGACATGCTCTACTTCCTGAATGGCACACAGCTTAGAAACAAGTTCCACATCTTCAAACCATTCAACTGCTGGGAGATCAATGGCTGCTCCATTGAATTCTGGAATCAGATGAATGTCAAACTGTCCGTTTGCCATTTTCTTGGGGCTGACATAACTTGATGGTTTTTCTTCTTATTTGTTGGGTATGTGCAATGAAGAGGCATCTCATAGATCAAGAAGCACAGAAAAATTAGCAGTACCATAAACACAACAGGAGTTGAATATGATATCAAGACAAGCAGAGCATGAACAGAATTTTCACACAGAAATACCACACATAAAGGATGAACATAGTCACAACACCAGAAACACAAGCAAGGACAAACGGATTTCAGGTAACACTCTCCTACTTTAACTCTGACAGAAATACTTGGTGACACATGACAATCATGTCATACATTCAGCACAGCATGGTACGGCACATTGTCCACTGACAATTCTCGGAAAATGTACCTGCTTATATTGAACCCAATGTTAGTGATTGGCTAGCAAAAAAGAATCATTTGCATAACTAACACCACTCAATTCATTCTCCCAACTATTTTGTCAAGGGAGCTGTTAGATATTTTATTTCTTCATATCCAGATGTCCAGATGCACTTGCTCAGTTCCGACAAAGTGACCATTTACTTTCTTCTTACAGAGACATCATATTAGACATTGTCTCTTTGACCAATGGAGGTATGTATTGTTATCAGTGATTGTAGGTTGCTCAGTCTGCATTTTGTTTCCGCTACAATTAGTCACTTTTTTTTTTTCTTTTGTCATCAACTAGTGAACTACAGTTTAGCAGCATCACAGGACTGTGTGATAAGTTTTTTTTTAAGTTAGATGTTAAGTTACTTATAAAAAACACTGAATTCAATAAACATTTGATATAAAGCTAATGAATCCATTTAAACGCCATCTTCCTCAGAATCCTTTCTATGTGGCAAAATATAGAAGTACAAATAAAATAATATAACCAACAAAATGGTATAGACTTTAATAACACTTATAGTATTTTGAAAATATTAAAAAATAATTTAAATGTCATCAAAATCTGAGTCAACTCGATAAAAAAAAAAACATCTGTTTTTTGTCTAACTTCACAAATGGGCTTCACCATCCATAAAAATGCATCTTGTCATAGATAACAATGAAGCTTTATTGTATATTTTAGTGACAATGATGCAAATGTTATATGAAAATGGCAAAAGGAAAAATATATGAAATGTTTAATCTGAAGTTTTCTTTGGTAGCATTTTTTTTTTTTTTTTTTTTTTTTGAGTCAGTTTTTGATGACATTACAACACAACAAATGTATGTTAAGTTAAAAAAACTAAAAAAATTGCATTTTTATTTATCAAGAGTGACCCTTTTTTTTTTTTTTTTTTTTTTTTTACAAATATTTCCAACAGATATTTTTTAACAGATAAACATCAATGTAGATATTAATGGAAATGTTGAATATTTATCAAAATTATGTCTGATTCTGAGAGGGTTTTTAAATTTAACAGATACAGGTTTTAAAAGATTTTAACAAGAAATATATTTTCTTTTGCTTCTCCATGAAGTCCTTTGTGACTGAGTATTTTTTTTTTTTTTTTTTTTTTTTTACAATGGTATTTATCCTGTAAAAGGCCTGTAACAGGGCATTGACAATGTTTAAATGATTAATTGCATAAAATTAAAGGATGATGATTTGGAGGGACCACTAATTGGATAATAATTATTCAATTTCTCAGAATAGGTTGAATTGTTAAGAAAAAAATTAAAACAGAAACGTGTTAAAATTTGTTTTAAAAGAATAAAATGAATTAAGAACAGTTACAAGGAGAATTGAATCCAGAATTAAATAGACAAGATCCCGTAAACTGAGCAAAACCAAGATCCTCAACCCTATCCACTTCCCACGGATAAGAAGACATGATTAATGTGTTATCTGAATTTCTTTGGCCCTGAAAAATTAGATTCAAAAGTTTATTTACATTATACTATCTGCCCAAAATGTGTGTGCTTAGAAATTATTCTAGACAAAGAAGGATTTAGAAATTAAATTTAAAGGTTTGTTTACATTATGCTATTTGTCCAAAACATATGGTCAGTATAAGCAGTAACCTACAACATAACAATTACCCTGGGTACATGGCAGCAGCTTCAACAAACTGTGATAGTGTTGTAGAGTAGTTTTCACAGTGGAGCCTTGTATTTCACTAAGTCTGTCCTAAAAGAGTCCAACGTACAAAACGTTAGGAACTTGCAATAAGAGTTAATGACGCAGCAATCTAGTTGTGATGGTTGATACTTCAATGCCCAACATTGACCGACTCACTCAACACCACTGAGCCCAACTGTTGACCGCTACTACTACTACTTATTATGTGTGGGAGAGTCTATTAATAATAGAATAGGTATGTCAGGTATAACAGATAGAAAGGTACAAGAGAATAACAACACTCAGAAAACGGCTTTGGTCTGCCTAACCTACGAGAAGACATTATTAGTAAAAATATGAAAGATTTGTGGTCCATATGACATCAGGGTAACCTTCAAAAGTGGTCCAACTCTTCGCAAACATCTCTTCTGAGTAAGACCCCACCCCCACATAGAGGAGAATGTAACTAAGGACTGTGTACACAATCCTGTGCAGCTGTTGTAAGAAATATAAAGGAGAAATGGGCTGCCTTCTTATGATAAGACTGCATGAACATCGTAAAGCTGTAACATGAGGGGAACTAGAAAAATCAGGCATAGCTGACCACACATGGAGGGAAAAAGGAGATCATCACCCCCTGTAGGAGGAGGTTGAAATAACAGAAAACATCATTGGAAAATATGAAAACTTAAGGAATCGGCATATATGCTAGGCTGCAAAAATCTCCTAAATTGGCTGATCATAGAAATGAATACAATATGGGAACCAGTAATACAGAGTGCTAGAGATGAGCAATAATAGCAACAACAAAAATTGCAATATGAGCTCTGTTAAAAAAAAAAAGAAAAAAAATGCTTACTGAGATATTAACTTTATAAGTTCCAAAAATTCATACTTTGATTTCCTCAAGGACAAATGTCTCAGTGGATAAAAACATTAGTTGGATCCAGTGACTTGACCAAAATAATTGAGTGTTCAATACTTGGCCACTGGCTACTGAAGTGGTGAACAAAAACTTGGAGAGAGATAACTGAGATATCCAGAAGAGGCATGGAACAAGAACAATCTACCCTGGTGGAAGAAATAAAGTGTTCAGTTTGAAATTCCAATCACCTGAAGTTGTGAATATGGCAACAAAGATGAGGAAAATAGTCCAAACAATGTAAATAATTATCAAAATTAAACCTTTTTTATTGTGAAATGAAAGAGTAATTTTTAAACTGTCAAAATTCCAAATAAGCAAAGTAACTACTACTTAGTAAGACATTGCTACTTTAACTGATTACTATTTGGTTTCCTTTCAATTACTGTAATTGACTCTTAATGCTTTTAATACTCTGTTTTGAAGACAAACTCTTATTGTTTCATTATGATGAAAATTTAACTTTATAATTATGAAGGTAATAATCCCTTTGCTTGAGTAAACAAGTTTTATAATCATGTAAAGCAAATAAATCTTTTAGACACGATTCACAAATATCAATTCCTTACCCAAGATAATGTTAAGTGTTACGGCTCATTACTTAATATCACCTATATAAGAATGAGTGTATATGTGTAAGTTTCTTATAGGAGTTTGATATTTAAAATTAAATTTGAAATGTTTTTCATTAATATTAAGGAAATGTTTTAAAACTTTTAACAATAATGAAGAAAATCCTTATTGTTATGAAATCGGTGTTGGGATGTGATGCAACTCTTCCTCCCTTTCTCTTTCTTCAGGACTAAGGTAATCAGGGTTCTCCACAACTTCCTACTTTCAGCATTTTTGTTCCTCCATGACTCCTTGCATTAAGTTCTCAGGTGTTTTACTTGTTTTTCTCTGCTTGTCTTTGGAGTATCTTGTGGTTGTCAGATTTTCCAAGCCTTCTTCCTTATATTTCCCAGAACTTTCAGCTGTTTTTTTTTTTTTTTTCATTCTTAGTAACAGTTTTCTATTTTCCTTAAAACCATGGTGATCATAGTTCTCCACAACTTCCTGTCTTTTCCTACTTTCAGTATTTTTGTTCCTCCATGATTCTTGCATTAACTTGCAATATTTTCAACATGATTTCTGATTTGAAGTGTCCTAGTTCACATGATGTTTAGAGATAAAAAAATCCATATTTAAATTTTTAAGTTTGATTCTGATAGTATTTTTGTGAAAAAAAATTATTTTCTCAAAACTCTTGTTTATAAAACTTGACCAAAGTTTGTGTAGATTTGTTTATTGCAAAACTTCTATTTACTGTTTTTGTATTTTCTATGATAATCATCTATAAAGTTTTGCAGCAAATGACAATGATATTTTTTATTTGTTTTTGCTGCTCTTCTCTATTCAATTGGCAAATATTTTGAAACATTAGCAACAAATATAATTAGTCAAAATAGTCATTTTTTTTTCTCTCTCTTGTGTAATTTATTAAAAGATTGTTTTTTTTTTTTTTATCTTCTTGCTTGACAGATCACATCAAGTGGTACAAGATCCCGAGAACAACTGACCTCCTATTTTGAGAGTTTAAAATCAGAATTGATCTTGGCTTTAGATAATCGACTGGCAGAACTAGCGAAACAGGTAGATGTCATTGAACAGACATCCCTGCCACCATTAAATGAATGTGAGGGCCTGATTAATCAAGGCATCTACAAAGTGAACAGGATCATTAAAGAGGGTAAGTTCTTCTTTTCATCTCCTATTATTAAATTTATTTATTACAAAGTGTCCTGGGTATGACGATAAACTATATCTGGCAACAAGGCCTCTGATCGAGTGTTTGAAGATTTTCAGTAGTGTGGAACCACCTCTTAATTGCTGTTGTTCCCAGGTTCACCCTGACCCAGGATGGTAGCACCTGTTAGGGTCCCAGTTGTGACAAATAGTGAACCCCCCAAACAAAAACAAAATACTATAAAAGTATAAAAATACATTTTTATAGTAAAAATACCAGTAATACATTTTTATATTTTTTTATAACTTTTTTATATAAAAACTTAACAAAAATACATATTGGTAGTGAAATTACATTTTATTACATTTTATCTGTGGTTGAAGGCATACAATTGTGTTCAAAATATTTAGATTTCAGCATTAAATAACCCATAGAGATGTTGATATGCCACTAAACAAAATCAACCAACCAACCAACATGAAAGAACTCTTTTATGACATTAATCCATATAGCATCCTACAATTTCTTAAATTGAACTCTATTCCAAAATATATCTTCAACAAAACTACAACATAAAAGACACATATCACTGCCTCTGATAATTACGTCTATACAAACATATGTACAAAAGCAGAGTAACCCATAAGGATTTGATATGGCATTAAACAAACTTGTCATGATATCATTCTCATACTCTTCTCTTATGACTTTATCTTTGTGTTAAACTGAAGATTAATTAAACTTCTATTCTGAATATTTTATTTTGTCACATATTAAGCAGTTTTTATATAAAGAAATGATGATAATCTGGAAATTTTATGTTTGGTCACATATATTTTATTATTTGGCATCTTGGCTCCAGTCATTTTCTCAATGCTGTAATGTAGCTAGCCTGTACATTAACTATAAAGATTTTCAAGGTAATTGAAAATTCTTATTTGGTACCTCAATTTTACAAATTTAAGTGCAATAGCAAATGGATGGCACAACAGTCTTGGAGAAATCACAAAAAGACAAAACTTATTAAGTGCTACAAGGGACAGGAGGATGTGATCGCCTACGTCCTGAATGGACATGGCATATAAAAGAAGACTAAATTGGCAGTTGAAATGGTTAGATATAAGCATTAAATTCTATGCTACTAGTAAACATAAGTTCTGCACTTCTCGATTGTGGAATTCTCTTCTTGCTTCCCAGTCAACTTTGACCTTCAAAATTTGAAATACAATGTCAATTGTTATCTTATGTCACCTTAATTCCTTTTCTTTACTTCTTCTCTTCTCACTCTTTAATGTTTTTTTTTTCTCGCGTTATTTCACACACAGTAGCCCCTTGCATCATAATTGCTTTATTTCTTAAATTGAAATTATAAAAATAAAAAAAACTTATGCTCTTGTGTGGCATAAGTGATAAGTAAGACTAATTATTAGTTTAGCCCTAAAATAATGGAATTGGGTAATTGAATGTTTGAAGTTTCTATTTTCATAAACATCCAAGGTGTTAGATTAGTGAAGGTGCTTTATTCAGGAATGAATATTGTCTACAAAGATGTCCAGCATTCATTTTTGCTTGCTCAAGACTTTTTTTCTCTTATTTTTGTTAATATTTAATTTTTATTAAATTATGATGTTGTCATTTTTAAACCCATTTGTGATATATTTGTAAATTGTTATCTTAATTTATAACACAAAAATCCAGGTTCTGTTTTCATTACACTTTTCAAAGTGTATGCAGCATTCAGTTGCCATTAGTCACTTTTTCTTTGCCATCAACTAGAGAACTACAATTAATCATGATCACAGAACTGTGTGATAACTTTTTTTTTTTTTTATGTCAGACGTTATGTTCTAAAAAACACTAAATGCAACAACCACTTGATATAAAGCTAATGAATCCATTTAAACCTTAGGTTCCTCAGGATCCTTTCAATATGGCAAAATATAAGAATACAAATAAAATAATATAACCAAGGAAAAGGTATAGACTTTAATAACAATTATAGTATTTTGAAATTATTAAAAGGAATTTAAATGTCATCAAAATCTGAGTTAACACAAAAAAATCTTTCATTGATAACTGAAATATTTTTGTCTAATTCCTCAAGTGGTCTTTACTATTCATAGAAATGCATCTTGGTATGGATAGCAATGAAGTCCTATTGTATATTAGTGTCAATATAGTGGCAATGTTTTAAAAGAAAAGGACAATAAATATGAAGATGGCAATTTTAAAAATATATGAAATGCTTAATGTTTTTAGCAGCAGTTTTTTAACTTTTTTTTTTTTTTTTGCATCATGTTCTGGCTCTCAATCTGTAGGTTATGCATTGAAAATAAAGAAAAAAAAAAAAACAGATTGTTGGTGTTAATTAAGGCAAATTTTGTTAACAGACTAGGGTTGTAATATTTGTGTATGTGTGATACTTTTTAGTGTACAGATCCTAAGAAGAGAACCAGTATATATTATGCTTTTATAATAGAAAAGTATTGCAGAAAATTTTGCTATAGAAATACATTGAAAATTTGGTAAAAGCAATTGTTTGTGGTCAGGGATGAATGTGTGGGGAATAAAGAATAAGACCAAAATTTCACCATCTCTAAAAATATAGTTAACCAACCAATCAGAAAGGCTTTCACAACCAGTATATAATGCTGTGAGCAGATCTATAGATATACATACATACATACATAGATTATTTACTTCCACCTGGACTTTTTCTCTGTCTCTCACCGGGAATTTAAACTTGAACTTTTGAAACTACAACTTTCACCTTATCCTTCTGTATTTATTGTGATACATAAAGATTGGTTTTCTGTATACCAACACTGTATTTTCTTTTAATCCTTACAAAAGCCAATATATGTCCAAACCAAATATAGCAATATATGGTGGGAATGGATTTTGTCACAAGTTAAACAACTCCTCCATAACTGATAACCTCCTAATCCTGATAAATGCAAGTATAAATGACAATTGAACACAAACGGATGCTAGAAAAAAAAAATTTTGTTTGGTTATTTGGTCACATTTTTGGGGGAAATGGTTGAAACATTTTCTGCACACCCCCTCATATAATTATTTATAATTATAACAGATACATGTAAATAGACCTTCTGAAATTCAAAGATAATGTATTTACATAATTTTTCTGACACTATTTTCTTCATAAAAGGAACGTCTACTCAAATATCTACTAAAAATAATATTTGATAACATTTGTCAGATTAATGAATAAAAAATCCGCTATTTCTTTAGAATTTGTTTGGATATAAGAAATTTAAGCTGCTTGAGCATGTATTATCTGCTTTTCTGAGAGAAAACAGACGCAATGTTAAGCTCTAGCTTAATTTTTTGAATTTTAAAAATATTTTTGGAACATTTCAGTTTGTGGAAAATAACTGCATTTGGTTTTCATTTGGAACCAATCAAAAGGTTTCCCTCCAAATTCTGAGAAGGAAATATGGAGACTATCTTAGTGAATAAAAGCAAAAGACTGAATTGAATTTGTGGAGTTGACGAACAGCTGCAGTAGGAACCCAGGTAGGCCTGGTCAAGGAAAAAAAAACACAGAAGAAAATTGATGACCACCTGACGAGAATTTGAAAATAACGTCAATGTCGCTCCCACAGCAAGAAAAAGTCTTCAACTAGTGAGATTGTTCTGTTCTTTGCAGTTACCACAAACTTTGCTTCGAGCATTATAGCTATTCTTTGAAAATTATTCAGAGAAGTATTTTCCCCTTGCTATATTTTCATGTTTACCTTTTTTGAGAACCTTATGCAGTATATTTTTTTTTTATTGTAAAAAAACTAAAAGAGGTATATTTGCAATGATTTATTTGTACATACATGTTATTGGCCATAATTTGGCATACAAAGTACTTAATTTGTGTAATTCTTTCATTTATTTTTGTGTGTTAATAAATTTATTGTCTGTTTTTCTAAACTCTGCTTGTGTGATCTGTCTTTGTTGGTTTTATAAATTAAATGTTACCTCAAACATTTGTTTGAACTATAATTTTTTTTGTAGTATTTTTTTTTTTTTACCAAATAAAAAAAAAAAAAAAAACTATAATGAAACTGCAGATATGAAATTTCAAGAATCTGTGACAAGGGATTTTGCTTAAAGCCACTATTCAGCATTGTTTGATCAATATATATATATATATATATATATATATATAAGCAAGGAACAAGCATAATTTAAAATTTACATTACAAGGCATATTGATGTAAATTTAATAACTAAAAACAACCAGTTTCATCCCAGCTTATCAAGTTTTATTCTGGGAATTAAAAAGACAAATGTGTAAATTAATTTGTAGGATGACTAATGTGGGGGGGGGGAATATTATATTTTTCCAAGGAAAACTAGACCAATAATATTCAGACCCAGCAAGCAATCCTGTTTATAGAGAGAATCTGATATATAAGGACTCCAGGACCTTGAGATGATATAAAGAGTATGACCGAGACAAAAGAGAGAAACTGTCCACACTAAAGT